AACTTAAATCCATTATTCCTGGTTCTTACCTGGTTCGACACCCTCAGTACTTTATTAATGTCTCCCTTGTTTATGCCCGTCATCCACTTATACACTTCAATGATATCTCCCTCATTCTACGCCTCTCCAGAGAGTGGAGATTTAAGGCTTTAAGTCTATCTTCATACGGGAGGTTCCTTACACAGTAAATCATTTTAGTCATTCTTCTCTGTATGTTATCTAATGAGTCTATGTCCATCCTGTAGTAAGGGGACCAAAACTGAGCAGCATAATCTAAATGAGGCCTCACTAGTGATGTATAGAGCTGTAAAATAACTTTTGGACTTCTGTTACTTATACTTCTTGAGATAAATCCAAGTAATCTGTTGGCCTTGTTGCGCACACTAAGGCACTGCTGTCTTGGCTTTAGATTTCTGCTTACCATGACTCCCAAGTCTTTTTCACATTCTGTATGACCAAGCTCTACTTCACCTAGATTATAGCTTCGAGGGTTATTTTCATTACCAAGGGCAAGTACCTTACACTTATCCACATTAAACTTCATCTGCCATTTTTCAGACCAAGACATTATTTTATTCATTCTAGAGTATATTCCATGTTTCTATGTTATTAATATTGTTATGTCATATTAGTTGAATTGTGATAGATAAATAAGTCAGAGAGTTGATATTAGTGTCATATTCTCCAACAATAAACTTGCCATCCCTCCCTCACACAAACAAGTCTTGAAAGTTAAGACACATGTGCAACATCTGGATATCTTTACTATAGACGTTTCGCCATCTAGTGGTTTTATCAATATAAATTCTAGGACATAATTAGAAGACAGTAGAACTAATTATGTCCTAGAATCTGTATTGATAAAGCCACTGGATGGCAAAACGTCTACAATAAAGTTATCCAGATGTTGCACATTTGGCTTAACTTTCATGTTGTCAGTATTTCATACCTTTCTTGCACAAACAAGTCTTCAATAAGAACAAAAGAAAGGAGGAACACTGCAGCAGGCCTGCTGGCTCATACTAGGCAGGTCCTTCACAAATCCAACCCACTAACAGAACAAATGCTACCCAAGCAATAAGCTCAGGTGCAAGTCCGACTCAAATCCAACCCCTCTCACTCGTGTATTTATCCAACCTAAATTTGAAACTACCCAAGCCATAGCTTTTAGAACATAAGAAAGGAGGAACACTGCAGAAGGTCTACTGGCCCCTACAAGGCAAGTCCTTATCAAAATGACCTCTACCCAAAGCTACCCAAGAATTTACTCCCGTACCCAATGACACAAATCAAACCCAACCCCTTCCACTCATATATTTCCAATCTCTCTTTAAAGCTACTCAAGGTCCTAGCCTCAATCACCCTACATAAGAACATAAAAATGGAGGAACACTGCAGAAGGCCTACTGGCCCATGCAAGGCAAGTCCTTATCAAAACGACATCTACCTAAAGCTACCCAAGGAATAACTCCCGTTAAAGTCTCACTCAAATCCAACCTCTCTCACTCGTGTATTTATCTAACCTAAATTTGAAACTGCCCAACGTTTCAGCTTCAATAACCCTACTAGGCAGATTGTTCCACTCATCAACTACCCTATTTCCAAACCAATACTTTCCTATATCCTGTCGAAATCTAAACTTATCTAATTTGAATCCATTATTGCGGGCTCTTTCTTGAAGTGATATCCTCAAAACCTTATTTATATCCCTTTGTTAATACCCATCTTCCACTTATACACTTCTATCGTGTCTCCCCTCATTCTTCGTCTTACAAGTGAATGTAGTTTAAGAGTTTTCAATCGTTCTTCGTACGAAAGATTTCTAATGGTATGTGTTAATTTCGTCATTCTACGCTGGATGTTTTCTAGCAAATTTATATCCATTCTGTAATATGGAGACCAGAACTGAGCTGCATAATCTAGGCGAGGCCTTACTAATGATGCATAAAGCTGTAAAATAACCGCTGGACTTCTGTTGCTTACACTTCTAGATATAAATCCCAGTAATCTGTTTGCTTTGTTACATACACTGAGGCACTGCTGTCTTGGTTTAACAGCCAGGGTACTTCCCCACACACCAGCCAGGGTACCTCCCAACACACAGGATTTGATTTGATTGGGACTTGTGTACAAGTGAATAGAATTATCAAAGCTTATTGCTTGGGAAGAATTGAAAATTGGGTTGGGCCAATACGATTCTGTTAGTGAGATGGTTTGTGAAGGACATGCCTAGTATGGGCCAACAGGCTTGCTGCAGTGTCCTGCTTTTTTATGTGTAAACATTTATGGATGAACATCACCCTGATAGCTGTTGTAGGCCATGCTGGCAACATCTACAATGACAATGTTGTGTCCCATTTTAGGGAAATCTTAAAGAGATGCCAGAAACAGAGCTCTCTGGACAGATATTTTGTAAGACAGGGGTCCAGTGACTCTGAAGCTGGTACTGGTGGCATTAAAAAAAAAAAAAAGAAGGGAAGTAACCTGAAGTCTTTATGGAAGGGGATTCCCCCTTCCAAACAATAGTACACCTCCATCCTCTCCCCCTCCTCCCGTCTCATCAATCATCAATAAGTCTTCAATAAAGTTAAGTGTCATTTTAGTAATATTTTACTCTGCTTGTCTCATTGTTTTCTGTGTAGGGGAATGTATACTTCATATAGAAAAATTACTTTGTTTAATACTTTTGGGTGTCTGGAACGGATTAATTGAATTTCCATTATTTTTTATGGGGAAAATTAATTCGGATTAAGTCAGATTCGATATAAGTCTCTCTCTGGAACGGATTAATTACGTTATCTGGGGTCCGCTGTATATATATATATATATATATATATTTTTTTTTTTTTTTCAACAAGTCGGCTGTCTCCCACCGAGGCAGGGTGACCCAAAAAGAAAGAAAATCCCCCAAAAGAAAATACTTTCATCATCACTCAACACTTTCATCTCACTCATACATAATCACTGTCTTTGCAGAGGCACTCAGATACATACATTTCCTTCTTTCTTCCAACACACCTGCTGCATCCCACAGAGGCAGGGTGGCCAAAAGGAAAAATGAAAGTTTCTCCTTTTACATTTAGTAATATATACAGAAGAGGAGGTTACTAGCCCCTGGCTCCCAGCATTTTAGTCGCCTCTTACGACACGCATGGCCTACAGAGGAAGAATTCTGTTCCACTTCCCCATGGAGGTAAGAGGAAATAAACAAGAACAAGAACTAGTAACAAAATAGAAAAGCCAGAGGGGTGTGTATATATATGCCAATGCATGCATGTGTAGTGTGACCTAAATGTAAGTATAAGTAGCAAGATGTACCTGAAATCTTGCATATTTATGGGATAGAAAAAAAGACACCAGCAATCCTACCATCACTTACAACAATTACAGGCTTCTGTTTTACACTCGCTTGGCAGGACAGTAGTACCTCCCTGGGTGGTTGCTGTCTACTAACCTACTTCCTAGGATAAATGACAATTACATATATTTTTTTTTAGCTTATGTTTTACCTAAAGCAATGTACACACAAGAGGGTTTTACAAATATTACCCTATTTTATTGTCTAACCCCCCATTATACTGTGTATAATATACATGTGTTATACAGGTCCACATCTTTATCCAAAACCCTTGGGGCCAGTCGCATTTTGAATTTCAGAATTTTTCAAATTTCAGAATGAGGGTGGGGTCTAGGGCAGCACCCCATAATCAAACATTAACACTGCAGCAAAAACGTATGAATACTCGCACTAAGTGGGATAAATAAAGATTACAAACACTACCATGGTTTATTTATAGAGTAATATATTGATAAATGAAATACAGTGGTACCCCGAGTTTCAGCCACCTCCCAACTCGAACAATTATGTAAGTGTATTATTGTAAGTGTATTTTTGGGGGTCTGAAATGGACTAATCTAATTTACATTATTCCTTATGGGAACAAATACGTTCGGTAACAGCACTCGAACAGCCTTCTGGAATGAATTATGGCTGAAACTCGGGGTTCCACTGTAATGGGATAATTATAGACCAGGCACATGATTCTCAAGACGATTGACAGACGGCGTTTTTAAAGACTTCAAGTGTCATCTGTCTTATTAACATAGGTTTTTGTCTAAGCAATCTCTCTTTAACTGAGTAAATTGCCATAATCTCTTGCTCACTGATAAATGCACATTGTTCAAGGCCAGCAATTAATTGATCGCACATTTTCACCATATCGTCTATAGGGACTTTCTCACCTGCGTTCACAATGTCATCACTACTATTCTCATGCTTATTTGTATTTAACACCATTTCAGCAATTTCACCATCACTCAAGGTGCACAACAGGTGCATCATTGTCATTGTTCAGCAGTTCTTTGATGTCAGCTTCCTGTAATTTATTTACACTTTCATCCAATAAACTTTTAGCTTAAGTTACGAGGTATGAAATCATCATCTCATCAGTGACACGAAATCCTTCAAAAACTTCATCTGTAGGTTCATTTACATCAAACATCGTTTGACGTAAAAACAAAATATCAGCGAACAGCAGACACGTGTGTGAACACTACAATCGCTGAGACACAACTGACGCCTGCCACTCTGGCTGTCAGTGCTGGGTCACTCTTGCCACATGGCGGCGTTGGAGTTATGTAGAGATGACTGACACTCCACAATAAAACTTTGTTTTTTGGAACTTTTTGAATTTCAGAATTTCGGAAAAGGGGCGGGGGACTGTATATTTTTTAAGAATAAAAGAATAAAACGAAAATTTAAAAGATTTTTTTAAGATTAACACTTTTTTTTCCTCTGGCTGATAAACAGCAGTCAAGTACTTTAACCAGTTCTACTCTTATTTGCAACAAAAGGTACATACCTCTCAACTCAACAAACCGGGGTGGGAAGCACTGTGAAGCCCAGTGCTAGGGGTAATTAACTCAAGCAAAGTGACCTAAAAAAAAAAGATGGAATAATTTTTGCCCCTTTCACCACAAAAAACACGCACTCCGCCAACTCACCTAGCAAGTTAGAAGCATTTTTGAGCACCTCCACCGTGAGTGGGGTCCCAAGAACCAACGGGGAAAATTCAAAATGAGGGGGTGTTGTCGGATCACCCAAACCCACCCTCCACTGCCAGGAATGTGAGCTAAAGGCAGGGCTGTCACACGCACACGAATTTCTAGCCTTGGATTTATTAAAAAAAATCAAACAAAAGGTAGATATTCACACAAAAAACATATACAAAAATTTTTTTTTTTTTTTTTCACACGGGCCGATTCCCCCCAAAGGAAAGGGTGGCCCGAAAAAAAAAAACTTTCACCATCATTCACTCCACACTGTCTTGCCAAAGGGGCTTTACACTACTTTTTTAAAACTGCAAACATTAACCCCCTCCTTCAGAGTGCAGGCACTGACTCCCATCCCAGGCTCAAGTCCGGCCTGCCGTTTCCCTGAACCCTTCAAAATGTTATTTTTGCTCACACTCCAACGCCGTAAGTATTTAAAAACCATTTGCTCCATTCACCCCTATCAAACACCTCACGCATGCCTGCTGGAAGTCCAAGCCCCTCGCCAAAAAAACCCCTTTTCCCCCCCCTCCAACCCTTTCCCAGGCCCACCCCACCCCGCCTTCCTTCCACACAGACTGAACACTCTTTAAGTCATTCTGTTTCGCTCCATTCTCTCTACTGTCCGAACCACCTCAAACCCCCTTCCCACCCTCTGGACACATTTTGTAACCCGCACCTCCTCCAACTTTCCCAAAATACAATTCCTGCATTTTTAAATTTACACCCACATTGCCCTCAACATGACAAACTCCACTGCCCCCACCCCTTCTCCTCGCTGCAAAAACATCACCCCCGCTTCACACCCATTTTAAAGCGTTGGAAAACATACCTCAACATTCCCCCCTTTCCTCCAAAGGACAAAATTCTTTTTCTCCACAACCCAAGTGCACCACTCACTCTTTTTTTCCCCAATTTTTTTTATAAATCTGCTATTTATATTCTCCAGCCATTTAAAAAATACAGTCCTATTCCTTTTATAAATTAACCACAAGAAAAATCTACAATAATTTATCCAGACCACAGACATTTCATCATCCCCCCCTTTCTCACAAATGGGGATCTCAAAATACTGTATAATCAATTGTACTAGACATCCTTAAATTGTTTTTTGTTTGTGCTTAAATTTTTCTTTGTTTATGGAATTTTTTTTAAACATGCTGGCTGCCTCCAACCGAGGCAGGGTGAAAAAAAAAAAATCACCATTCACACTATCACTCTCTCTGTAGAGATGTGCAGATATGACAGTCTAGATGTTACTCTCAACAGAAAATATTCCAAACCCCTCCTTTTAAGTACTTCCCACCTCCAGGACTAAATTCTGGCTAACCAGTTTCCCTGAATTCCTTCACAAAATATTACTCTGCTCACACTCCAAAAGCTCATCAAGTCCCAAAAACCATTCGTCTCCACTCACCCCTATCACATTCACACAAACAGAGGTAGATGTATCAAGTGATACAGACTCCAACAAAGCATCACAACCCAGGGATCCTGCACCACCTGCAGGAACTAGTACCAGCAAGTTTTCTTAGTGTTACTGGTAGAAAGTTTGAACAGTTTTGTATCTCTGATGTTAGTCCTGTATAATTTTATCTATTTTTATATTATTAATACATTGGCCATTTCCCACCAAGGCAGGGTGGCCTTGGTAAATTTCATTCAGGGTAATTTGTACCTACTCATGTCTCACTTGATAAAAATTGTGTGCAGAATAAATAGCAGACTTTAAAACATTTTTCATATGTGGATCCTACCTAGCTGCATTCTAAAGGTAGGCCTTGTATTGTAGTTTTTTTTTTTTTTAACAAGTCGGCCGTCTCCAACCGAGGCAGGGTGACCCAAAAAGAAAGAAAATCCCCAAAAAGAAAATACTTTCATCATCATTCAACACTTTCACATCATTCATACATAATCACTGTTTTTGCAGAGGTGCTCAGATCAACAGTTTAGCAGCATATACGTATAAAGATACAAAGCATATCCCTCCAAACTGCTAATATCCCGAAACCCCTCCTTTGGAGTGCAGGCATTGTACTTCCCATTTCCAGGACTCAAGTCCGGCTATATAAAAATAACCGGTTTCCCTGAATCCCTTCACTAAACATTACCCTGCTCACACTCCAACAGATCGTCAGGTCCCAAATACCATTCGTCTCCATTCATTCCTATCGAACACGCTCATGCACGCCTGCTGGAAGTCCAAGCCCCTCGCCCACAAAACCTCCCTTACCCCTTCCTTCCAACCTTTTCGAGGACGACCCCTACCCCGCCTTCCTTCTCCTACAGATTTAAGTGCTCTCCATGTCATTCTACTTTGATCCATTCTCTCTAAATGACCAAACCACCTCAACAACCCCTCTGACTAATACTTTTATTAACTCCACACCTTCTCCTAATTTCCACACTCCGAATTTTCTGCATAATATTTACACCACACATGCTTTCTAATTCAATTTAGCCAATGAAAAATTTCTCAATTTCTAGCTTTGTTATTTCACTTACCTCAAGTATCTTGAAAATTAACATTGCTGATATGATATCTCTCCTGTTTTCAAAGGCCTCCTATCCATCTTATTTTCCTGGTCAAATTTATATTATCTTACTATATCTTAACAGTTCTAACAGCTGGCATGCTAGCTAGCAAACTATCCACCAGCCTACTTTACATATTAGTCCCTCAGTTCATATTAATGTATGTAAAATATCTTAGATGACTGATGAAGTAGGTAAAAATGCCTTAAATGACTGGCTAAAAAGCTTACAATTAACCAAGGACCAGACTAAGAGACTGTAAATTGAACTTGCCTGTAAAACGACATGGAGCCACTAGTGGAATTTCACCCTCGTAGGCAATACCCAGTCCCTTGAAATGCTGCTCTGCCATCTTGACAAGAGCACCATGGTCAACACCACCGGCACCTGCTAGCACAATTCGTGGGCCCTTGTAGTGTGTTGTGATATACTCGACCAAGTCAGACCGACTGATAGACCTGTGATAATCAGAATATTTACAGCAGAACTTTAGGTAATAGAAAATTAAGTAACACAGGTCTGATGAAAGATAACAAGATGCAAGTGCATTTAATTAACCCTTAAACTGTCCAAACGTAGATCAATGTTCGCTCGCGTAGTGCTCCAAAAGTAGATCTACTTTTTTTTTTTTTTACATGGTTTCAAATGGAGAAAATCAAAGTCAGAGTGCTACGCACGTAAATGTAGATCTATGTTTGGACAGTTTAAGGGTTAAATATTTAGATTAAAATGCATCAGCAGATGCATTTTAATCTAAATATTTCTATTTTTGTATTTATTGACAAGCCTGTCAATAAATACAAAAATAGGAATTTCTTGGGATACTCTTATCAAAGAGACAGTTGGAGTAAGTGAAAATGTCTTGTTGGAGACTAGTGTGCTTGGTGAATGTTTTTCACTGAGCAAGGAATTAAAAAATTAGATGGTGTGGTACAATTCAAAATGTTAAAGAAGCGTAATTAGAATGGTTTGGTTATGCAGAAAGAATGAAGTAAAGAGGGCATATATATATCTGCGATAGAGGGAAAGCAGTGCAATAATAAAGTTACAACAGTGATGTTTGGCATTTCTGATACCATTAACCCTTAAACGGTCCAAACATATATACTTGGGCCAAACGTATATATACGTTTATTTTTCCTGCCTTCAAATTTGGCACGACTGACCTGAGATGCCTTGTCAGCATAGAATGGGTCTTAACACTCAGTGTGCTTGGTATTATTATTGTGGGAGTGCCAGTTAAATTGAGGCCAGCTAGAGCAAGCAGTGCAGCAAACACCAAGGATTCACTGATGTGATGTCATATTAACACTCCTCTTTTAAGAGGAAAGTGATGTTAACCCCAAGTTTAGGGTCTATCTGTCTTTCTAACTCTACCTCTGTCTATCTACCTCTCTCTTTCAGTCTCTGTCTCTTTCAGTCTCTGTCTCTTTCAGTCTCTGTCTCTCTCTTTGTCTCTCTGTCTCTCTGTCTCTTTCTAGTCTCTGTCCTCCAGTACACACAAATTCATGCATAATTACCTAGTAACATAAACCCATAAATCTCGCTACTTTCATGACGCTGATAAAGTTGACGCAGTCTTTGTGGTTCTCTTTCAGGCTGATGGTATGACAAGAGCTTTCAGTACCATTTTGTACTCAACGAAAAGTTGGGATTCTCTTTGTCTCTGACTCACTCTCTCTGCTATTTTTTCTACGGACCCATATCATCATTCATCTCCTGATCATCACAAAATATCAGATAATCATCATCGCTCAAAAATCATATCATCATCATCATTTCTCAAAACAGACATAGATCATCACAAACTACATGATCATCAACAAGCTCTCAATCATCATCATATCATCAGATCCATCAAACATAATCATACATCATGCATTCTCCTTCCTCCTCCTCCTCAACCTCATCAAACCCCTTTTCTCATCCATCATGCTCATCTCCTCATCATCGCTCATCAAATCATCTTATCTCCATCATCATCATCACCTCATCTCCTCTCCTCTCCCCTCTCCTACTCCTCTCATCCTCCTCTCATCATCATCCTCCATCTCTCCCCTCCTCCTCATCACCTCCTATCATTCATAATCCCCCATCATATATCCTTATCTCCCTCCTCCTCATATCACTTCATCCTCATATCATATTTATATCATCACTCTGTCTCGGTCAGTCTCGGTGCTCTCTTTTGTTCTCTGACTCACTCTCTATGGCGTCTCTGTCTCACAGGGAACTACACAAATATCTAGTGCATGATATTTACCTAGGTTAACCAAAAATATCGGAGATTAAAAGTTGCTTTTATTGCTTGAAGTTATGTGTAATGGTGGATGTAGCTGGCGGGGGGGGAGCGCGGTGACAGAAGAGCTAGATGGTGAGCTGAGAGCTAGAGGGATGAGATCAGATGTGCTGGGGTAAGAGAGACATTGGTGGGGATCCTGCGATAACAAAGGGAGGGCGGTTGCGAGGATATGGGGATTCGCGTTGCGGGGCGGGTGAGCGGCTACAGAGTGGTGGAGATGCTTTCGGATGGAGGTGATGATGCTGCAGCTGCCGCTGCTCTGCGCTGGATGAAGACGACCGCTGCATGCTGATATGACGCGGATGCATGATGATGACGTGATGCTGCCGCCGTCCGCTGGATGCCGCGATGATGCATGCTGCTGCACGCTGCAGCTGATGACGACGATGATGCTGACGCAGCTGATGGACAGACTGCTGCCGCTGATGCAGCTGACGCTGATGCTGATGATGACGAAGATGATGATGAAGAAGCTGATGCATTGAGAAGATGATGCCTGAAGAAGATGATGCTCGCATGAAGACGCTGCTGCTGCAGCCGATGATGCTGCAGACAAGAGATTGCTGATGCTGGCCGCGCTGCAGGCTGACTGCATGAAGAAGATTGTGATGATGAACAATGGCATGATGACTGATGCCGACAGACAGCAGGATGCGATTGCTGCTGACCGCCGACTGCAGCTGCAGCAGAGACCGCTGCCGACCCAACGGCCCAGATGAAGAAGATGACACCGAACGCGGAGCTTGCCGCCGATCAGCCGCTGCTGCGCAGGCTGCATAGCAGCTTGCACGCCGCCTCCGGGCTGCGGCAGCCGCCGGCGGCCTTGCGACAGGCCGGGGACAGGAGCCGGCGCGACCGAAGAAGGAGACGCCGCACCGCCGCCGCCGCCTCGCGCCGTCGCCTCCGCCGGCGCCTCCGCCGGCGCCTCCGCCTTGTCCTCCGACGCCTCCTCCTTCTCCTCCTCCTTCTCCTTCTCTCCTCCTTCTTATCCTCCGCCTCCGCCTTATCCCCTCCTTCTCCTTCGCCTCTCCTTCTCCTTCTCCTCCTACTTCTCCTCCTCCTTCTCCTCTCCTCCTCCTCCCCTCCTCTCCCCTTCTCCTCCTCCTTCTCCTCCTTCTCTCCTTCGCCTCTCCTCTCCTTCGCCTCCTCCTCCTCCTCCTCCTCCTCCTCCTCCGCCGCCTCCGCCTCCGCTCTTCTCTCCTCCTGCCTTCTCCTATCCTCCTCCTCCTTCCCGCCTCCTATCCGCGCCTCTTCATCCTCCTCTTCCTCATCCTCCTCCTGCTCATCGTCTCATCCTCCTTTCCGCCGTCCTTCTCCTCTCTCAGTTCGCTCTCCTCCGCCGTCCTCTGCTCCTCCTCTTCTTTTTTGCTCATCCTCCTCCTTCTCCGCCTCCTCTCCCGCCTTCTCCTCCTCCTCCCTCCTTCGCCGCAGCCTTCTCCTCCGGCGCCTCTGTGCCAGGCTCGCACGCCTCCGTCTCCTTCTCCTCCGCCTCCTCCGACTACTCCTGCTCCTCCTCAGCCTCCGTGCTGCGTCCGCATCCGGTCTCCGCCCGTCCGCCGCCGCCGCCGTAGCCGCTTCTGCTCTTCCTCCTGCTCAGCCGCGCGCGCCTGTCTCCTCCTCCTGCCTTCTGTCTCCTCTACAGCCTGCGCCTCCTCCCTCCGCCGCCGCCGCCTACGGAGCCTCAGTCTCTACTGCTCCCGCCTTCTCCGCCTCCTCCTCCTTCTTCCTCCTCCTCCTTCTCCTCTCCTCATCCTCCTTCTTCTCCTACTCCTCCTTCTCCTCCTCCTCTTATCATCCTTCTCCTTTCATCCTTCTCCTCCCCCTTCTCCTCTTCCTCTTATCCTCCTCCTTCCTCCTCCTTCTCCTCCTCCTCTTCTCCTCCTCCTCCTCCTCCTCCTCCTCCTTCTCCTCCTCTTCTCCTCCTCCTTTCCATCCTCCTCTTCTCCTCCTCATTATCCTCCTCCTTCTCCTCCTCCTTCTCCTCCTCCTCCTCCTCCTTCTCCCCTCTTCCTCATCCTCCTCCTACTCTTCCTCCTCCTCTTCCTCCTCTCTCTTCCTTCTCTCTTCCTCCGCCTCCTCCTCCTCTTCTCCTCCTCTTCCTCCTCTCCTCTTCCTCCTCCTCCTCCATCTCCCCTCCTCCTCCATTCCCCCTACTCCTCCATCTCCCCCTCCTCCTCCATCTCCCCCTCCTTCCTCCATCTCCCCCTCCTCCGCCATCTCCCCCTCCTCCTCCATTCCCCTCCTCCTCCTCTCCATCTCCCCCGCCTCCTCCATCTCCCCCTCCTCCTCCATCTCCCCCATCTCCCTCCTACCTCCAATCCCCCTCCTCCTCCATCTCCCCCCTTCCCTCCTCTCTCCTCCATCTCCCCTCCCTCCTCCATCTCCCCTCCCCTCCTATTGTTATTATTACTTCCACATATCCAAAACATTGCTGTTCCCCCCCCCCCCCCCCCCCCCCCCCCCCCCCCTTCAGGAATTAATACTTTTTGTATATATTCCAAGACGATATTAAATAGCCAAGGCAGGTGTAAATGTCCACCTGTCAATGTGTTTGTGACAATTTGAGTACAATTTCAGTATCTAATACTAGTGTCAGAACAAAGATTTGTTATAAAATGACAAGAACTACTACAAATTGGAATTATTCTTCTTTCTTTCAACAAACTGGCCATATCCCACCAAGGTGGGGTGGCCCAAAAGGAAAAACGAAAGTTTCTCCTTTCAAATTTAGTAATATATACAGGAGAAGAGGTCACCAGCCCTCGCTCCCGGCATTTTAGTCATCTCTTATGACACGCATGGCTTACGGAGGAAGAATTCTGTTTCGCTTCCCCATGGAGAACAAATTGTAATTATCAAAACATAAAAATTATATAAAACAATATGAAAAATAGAAAAAAAAAGGCAAGCAGCAGGACTATGTTGCTGTCACGTGAGCATCCAGTGCCAACTTCTCGGCCTATCTCGGTAAGTACCGAGATATGAGGCCGATTTTTTTTTTTTCAAAACATGGACCGTTAAGGGTTAAATAGAGGTGTAGTGTTATTATAGAGTATAACATTCAAGAAAACACGTACTGTTGATGTGGTCAAACAGCATCCAAGGAAATAGGAGGTAATCAGATTTGATGCAAAAATAGACCAGATCCAATTCCTT